GTACAGATATGACTGGGGGTCCCAACAGCTGCGGCGCTACACTGGATGTTGGCTACTCAACATATATACATCAGCCAAGGTGCCGAGGCGGCTGTTGCTGTGTACAGGAAACACATTAGAAGCATGAAGGGGCAGCTCACCCGCCTCGCCTCAAGAACCACCGTAGTCTTCAAGCTCCTCGACGACCTGAGGGTAATGTATCGTGACTCTTGTTTATGCTGGTCAACCTCAATATAAATTATATTGCCTGCTGTAATTGATATATTAACGGAAGACACTCAAAATATACGAGAAATTAATTTTATAGTGGGTCTGAAGAAGATAAATTATGTAATATCACAGTCACTGCAAAATGGTTATGAAACAAATAGACCGACTGCAACAAAATAAATCGCCAGATCCTGATGAATTTTCTTCAAGGGTTCTTAAGGAATGCAAAATGGAACTCTGAACTATTAACTAATATTTTTAATTTATCTCTCCAAACAGGTGTAGTGTCCGATATGTGGAAGATACCTAATGTAATTCCTATGTAATTCCTTGTACCTCGTTACCCTGTACACAATGACACCAATCAAACCCAGCCCGTCCCACTCACATATTTGTCCAATCTCTTGGGTAGATTTAATTAATCACAATGCCTTGATCATCCTACTCGAAAGATTGTGCCACGCATCCAAAACTCTGTCTGAAAACCAGTACTTACGTACGTCCTTTCTAAATCTAAATTTATCCAGCTTAAATCCATTATTTCTGGCTCTTACCTGGTTTGACACCCTCAGTACTTTATTAATATCTTCTTTGTTTATGTCCATCATCCACTTATACACTCAATGATATCTCCCCTCATTCTAGTCTCTCCAGAGAGTGAAGATTCCTTAAAACAGTAAATCTTTTAGTCATTCTTCTCTGTATGTTCTCCAATAACTCTACATACAACCTGTAGTAAGGAGACCAAAACTGAGTGGCATAATCAAAATGAGGCCTCATTAGTGATTATAGAGCTGTAAAAATAATTTTTGGATTTCTGTTACCTATACTTCCTGAAATAAATCCAAGTATAATCTGTTAGCCTTATTGCAAACACTTAGGCACTGCTGTCTTGGCTTTAGATTTCTGCTTACCATAACCCCAAGTTTTTTCACACTCTGTATGATAAAGCTGTACTTCACCTAGTTTTAACTTCGAGCGTTTTTTTCATTACTAAGGACTAGTGTTTTAAACTTTTGTCCACATTGAACTTCATCTGCCGTTTTTCAGACCAAGACCAAATCCTCCTGGAGTTCTTTGGGTATCCTGCTCAGAATTAATCACAATGCCTATTTTTGTATCATCAGCAAATTTGCTCTGCCACTTGTAATTCCTTCACAAGGTCATTATGAAAATTATGAAAAGAGGGACAAAACTGACCCTTCTGGAACGCCACTAGTGACAAATTTCCCCGTTCAGTTTTAAACCCCATTAAGGGAAACTGTTATTTTTATTGGTAAGCCAAGCCTCTATCCATGCTAGAACTTTACCTCCTATACGTTGAGAAATGGCATTACCAGCTAATTTTAAAGAGTTTGTACATAACTTTAAAGACAGCTCATCGCCTACACAGCCGCCCCTGCAGACGAGGTCTTGAGAAGCTGTCGAAGTCATCTCTCAACGGGCTGTAAAATTATAATTTGTAAGATTATAAATTACCCCTGGGGGGTGTTAGTCAGCATATTTCATTCACTGATGGCTGACAAACTTACTTGTGTGGACTCAAAAGTCCGCCCCTTTAACTGCCGGGACTATAGGTTGATTACAAACTCCTTGCGACCCCAAGAACTGCGCAGTCCCCCATTACTACAAAGAAATTCTAACCTACCTTGCTCTTGTAGCGTGAGCTAGGTGTTTCTTCACACCTTCGACAGATATGGGTGATCTGATAGAAGCTGAAGTGTCCCTTGGATGTCCACGTCTTCCATAGTCTAGGAATACGCACACTGGTATACTATGTTCCACAAGATTTGTCTTTATTGTTCAAAATCTTATCACTAAAGAAGCTGATCACACTTCTCTTAAGTGCTTATTGTGTTTCATGAGATACTTTGTTCACACTAACGCACAGATCGTTCTTTGTGTTATCCGGGCTCAGTGGGCACTCTCAGTAGAGTCAAAAATAATCTGAAGACGCCAAAGCGCCCCAGCCTTTAAAATTTAAACCCCCTACACAAAGAAAAAGCTGACCTAGTACTTTTGCTTCCTTGCCACTTCCTCGATGAAGCAAAGCAGAATGTTTAAATCTTGCTGTCTTAAGCATAGACAACAATGTCCACTATCTTTACTATGGTAATAAAGTGGGAGCAGGATTTTCCTTAATTGTACTGCTAAAGTAAGAGATGTACTGTCTCTTATTAAAATACACTTTGCAACACTGCAAGGAGCGTCGGTCGAAGCGACCACTTTCCATACTCATACTGCATCTGCTATCAATTACTCGCTGTAGCAGTAAACAAGACGCTTGCCCCTTCTGAGAGGGCTGGGTCCCTCAGGGCCGAAAGGGCTGAAAGGGGCTGATACCCCCCTCCTGGAGAAATTTTCTCCACACTGGGGGACGGCGGAGGTTCGCTGCAGGTGAACTATTCATCACTTAACATTAATTTAATTTTCTCACTCGCCACCACTGCTGCTTGTCTTTTCTGAACAGCTTTAGTCTGTGTGGTTTCGGGAAAGAATCACAATTTTTTTTTTAAAACTCTGTGTATTTCTAACGGCACTAGTTTATTTATTGTCCGCTTATTCACTACACCTTTGCTCAAAACATCAACTGTCCTGATGATTCCATTTGCATCAGGATATATGGTCACAATTTTTCCAAGTGACCATTGGGACCTCGGACCATCATTGTTAATAATCACTATGTCACCAGGTCTTAAGGACTTATGATTTTCAGGAACACCAGCTCCATAGAAGTGTTCTTTCAATGAGGTGAGATAGTCTTCTCGCATAGTCTTCTTGTCCCAACGTTCAATAACTTTATTAAGGTGTTTGAATTTACGTCTGAGTTGCTCAGGTTCGAAATAAGTAGGATCCTCTATGATTTCTTTATCATTCATGGGAGGAGCAGGTTCGAGCCTTCTGCCATGGAGTAAATGAGATGGACTTAACACTTCTAAATTGTCCAGATCATCGTTAACATAAGTTAGAGGTCTGTTGTTGACTCTATTTTCTATTTCAGTCACAACTGTACGGAATTCTTCTAAGTCGATTCTTTGACGATGAAGAGTCTTCCTTTAAAAACAACTTTTAAACTAGCCGATCTTTCTTTCATAAAATCCGCCGTGCCATGGGATTTAGGAGGAATGTATTTCCAACGACAACTGCGTTGATTCAGCATCTGTTGTACTTCTGGTTGATCAAAGATCTTGCTTATATAACAGCACCCAGCAAAAAAGTTCGTTTCATTATCTGAAATCATCAGTCTGGGACATCCCCTTTCTTGGCTGCAAACCTTCCGAAAAATTTGATAAAGGTTTCAGCAGACATGTCAGTGGACTACTTCTAGATGTCTGCTCTTAGTTGTAGCACAAGTGAACAAACAGATGTAACACCTTGATGGGAACTTTGTCAACTGTTTTGGTTTTAAAATTATTGGTCCAGTGTAATCTACCCCTGTCACCTCAAATGGATTGATATGAAAAACTCTTTCAGAGGGATATGGAGGTGGACCGGGAAATACGGGATACTCGCATATCGTAGTGACGACAAGTAATACAGCCCCTTATTGTTTTTTCACACTTTGTCGACCTTGAGGTATCCAGTAGGATTGTCGTATATGACAAAGTGTGTCAGCTACCCACCATGTAACACTTTTACTGTGGGCGTTTTGCACAATCATTTTTGTTAGCCAATGATTCTTGGGATAAATATTGGATTATGGCTTCTTTAGGTAGTGAAGAATTATGAATTCTTCCTCAACATCTTATAATTTTTTGGGCTGAGTCGAGATAAAGTCCTAAAGAATTAATCATGACAGGTTTCTTGGGGATTTATCTTGTGTTTCTAGAAATTTATATTCTGTAGAGAAAACATCTTTCTGTATTAGTTTCGCCCAGTATATTTATGGGTTCAAGATATTCATAACAGTTTTATTCCTTTAATAAATTTTAAAGACAAGAGCTGAAAACTCTTAAAGTTTACCCAAAGAGAGTATTTAGATCCATCAATGACTATTTCTGTTGTGTCTGCAGTATTTACACAACTTATTTCTGCTGTGTTCAAGCAAAACTGTTTCTTCTGGCATAATGTGAGCTTTTTGCTGAGGCCAGTTATTTTCATTAAAGAGCCAGTTCGGTCCGTGGAGCCATAATTTTTTATTCACAAATTTCTTGAGTGGGACACCACGTGACAACATGTCAGCTGGATTCTCTTGGGTAGAGACTGGAGAAAAGATAATCTCTCGCATCTCTTTTATTTCTGCTACTCTGTTCTTTACATAGACCAATTTACTCTTATTATTTCTTAACCACGGGAGAACTGCTTCATTATCACTCCAGATCAGGGTTTTTTCAATAGCGAATGATCAATATTTTGGGTTGAGATAGACAGCTAATTTTGTACCTACATAGAGTGCTGTCAGTTCCAATTGTTGGTACTGTTCTGACCTTCAAGGTGCTACGCTGGCCTTTGAAGTAATTAGTGTACTTCATTCAGCATTACTCATGTAAGCTACACGCCATAACCTCGGTTGACGCATCACAGAACACATGTAATGTGTACTTGTTTCCCTCTTGACCTATTTGTGGGGGAAAAATTTAATTTGATGAAGTTGCTTAAACTCCTTGGATATTTCATCCCATGCTTGACTCATTTCTAGAGGCAAGTTCTCATCCCATCCAATTTTGAGCTTCCATGCATCTTGCATAAGTATTTTACCCTTTATGGTAATTGGTGAGACGAGTCCTAGAGGATCAAAACATTGTGATACCTGTGACAGTAAACTACGTTTAGTGAGTGTACTGCATGATTTCTTGTTTATCTTTTTGAGACTCAAAGTATCTTCCTGTGTGTTCCAATTAAGTCCCAGCATATTGTTGCAATCAGGAATTTCAGCTTCAGGGAAATCTTCTTTGATAAGTTCTCTTAATTGCTTTGAATTTGTATTCCACATCCTTAGAGGCATATTTGCTTTTTTCATCTCCTTGTTAGCTTCTCTGTAT